AGTTTAGTTAATTTCCATTAATTCAAACTGGTTCTATATGGAAAATAACATATGTCTCTTTCGATATCTTGGACACCATATATATACAGTATATATATACATTTTTTTTTTTTACAAAAACATGCTTCAGTTATTCTTTTTACTCCTGATTTGACGAGTCAGGATATTTTACCTTCATCTGTCTATCTCTATCTCTACATGCACACATGATGTTGCTAACAGTGACATTAGCTTGATTAGCTTTAACCAAACTACACGTTAAAATGAGGTAAACAGAACAGATGTATTTCACAGGCGTGTTGTGAGCTCGTCGAAATGGTGTCAAAGAATTATGCTAGTGTTTTATTTTATTTTTTATTTATTTAGGCTAACGTCATTAACATCTCGCTTGTCCTCAAGACGACATATTTTAAGAAACTGCGAGAGAGCTTCGTTATCAAAAGGCGCAGGTAGCAACACAACACCTCCATATGTTCAACTTTTCCATGAAATTAAATGAAGCTCACTCACCTGACTGAAGCTACAGCACCGACTGCTAAGTCCAGCACTTGGTGTCAGTGGTCTCCTTGGTAACAGTCAATCTTCTTCTTCTTCGTGTATTTTATTTGGGCACAAGACATGCTTCGAAATTGTTTCTAGCGCCCCCTCTTGGTAGATGGACAGCARGACCGGTCAAGTTTAGTGGCAAACAGCTCGAGGGAAAAAGTGGAATGCTTCAAATAAAAGGTGCAAAGAGGATTAGGGCCACTGGGCCAATATTTCAGACTTTAATCTCAGAATTATGATTTTTTTTCCCTCAGATTTAGGAAAAAGTCCAAATTCTGACTTTTATCTTAGAATTCTGAAGAAAACACATCATAGAGACAAATGTCAGATTAAAGTCAGAATTCTGACTTCAGATTTCTGAGTTTTATTTTTCTGAGAATTTTGAGATTAAAGTCAGACACACACACACACACACACACACACACACACACACACACACACACACACTCTTAAAAAAAATTAAGAACTCATTGGCACCCCACCCCCCATCCCGACATCTCACTGCACCCCCTGCATGTGGCCGTGCTCCACTATTTGAGAAGTGCTGGCCTGACCCGTTTTCTGGCAAATATAGCCAATGAGGTGAATTTGTTTGGCGCATGACAAAATCTTCCAATATNCACACACACACACACACACACACACACACACACACACACACACACACACATGGTCATAATCTCCCTTTGTATAAACCTGCCCTCATAGGCTATTGTACATTTTTTTAGGTATTAAAAGCTTTAATATAGTTGTGTGATTTTTGTAATATTTATCAGCTATCTGATCTGTAACTGCTTATTTCTAAATAGAGCAGGGGCTTTAATACAATAATGACACCACTTGTTCTTTAATTCCCAGGAACATGAATTCCCCAAAGATTATTACAGATGATCATATATTATATGTTACAGATTACAGTTATCGTATTCTCAAAAGTTTAGTTTTACATGTCTCTTTTTCAGTGTTACACTTATGTTCAGTGTGTAAGAACGTGTGCAAACTGATAAAAATAAGCAAAATCAATATATAACACACATTGCACTGAAAACTGAGTTTAATTGAACACTATTGTTGAGGCAAGAAAAAAAGAGTGCTTTCACGCTGTAATGTGAAAAACAGTGTCAAACAAGAAGTATTGTGTCTGCAATGATAAATGAATGAAGAATTCCTCTTGAGCTTCTCACAAGGATGCACATCTTTACTTTTCATAGTAGAACCATTTGTCAACTGGGGGGAAAAAATTAAAACCCAGATTAATAAAGTGAGTTAACTGAATAAAAACATAAAGCTGATGCAAATAAATGAGCAAACACCCACCTGAGCATGGAATGGGATGTTCAGCACCAAAAGGACAGGCCTGTGAGAGTCATAAAATAATGCCATTTTCACATCGAAAACAGACATTTCAGCTTAAATAATCCACACAACAAGAATGTTTTAATGTTGATTTTATCTTTGATGTTTTGCACTGACAAGTAATCAACTTTACTTGGATTAAAGAAGAAAATCAAACTTACAGACTTAACCACAGCCTCTGCATCTGCAGGCGAGCAGAAAAATGGACTGTCTGAGACACTGGTGTTCATGCTGATTAAAAGCAAAGAAAAAGTGTGTTTGTTTGTTTTTAAATAAAAACATTACTTTAAGATTTACAATACAACAAAAATGAATTAAGTACAAATGTCTAATGAGCGTCAAGGTTAATCTAAACAAGAGTCACACACCAGTTTAACTCTCCAGCATTGGTCTTCTTAGATACCAGCGCTTTCCAAAATTCATGTGTGCTTTTCACTGTTTTTATAGCAAAGTCCTGGAAAACAAAAATATATTTCTTACATTTCTTTTCTACAAGTAGAGATGTCTAAATTAGTACCAAAACGATGCAGTTTCCAATTAARAAAATAAAATTAAGATAACTTTGTGTACTGCATACCCTGTCTTTGAACTCTCCATTGAAAGCAAACTGGTTTTCAGGTTTCCCATCTGGGACTTTGTAGCGTTTGAACCAATCCACAGTCGCCTCCAGGTATCCTGGTTTCAGCCGCCTCACGTCATCGATATCTGCAGCAAATCAACAATGTCAGAAAACTAGAGTGACATCGTGCCATATCCTTCATCAGCACAGTTTCTCCTACTGTTAAAGTTTGCAGCTTCTGGGTCGTCGGTGTTGATCACCATGACCTTCCAGTCCGTTTCACCCTCATCGATCAGAGCCAGAGTCCCCAACACCTTCACTGTGATGATTTCTCCACGAGAGCACACCTGAAAACGGTTTGTCACATTTTCATAAAAAAAAAGGCAAGCAGCTGGATCTAAATGAGCCTTTTCAGTATATTTCACTATACCTTGTCACCTATGTCACAAATATCGATTGGATCGTTGTCTCCACAGCATCCTGTGTCACTGTCCTTGTGGTTTGGATCTTCCCATGTCTATCAGAAATATCAGCCCACTGAATAAGTCTCCTTTTTGTCCGAGTAAATGGAGTTTGAGCTAGACTTGCCTGTGGAATAGCCCCGTAGTTCCAGATATATCCTTTGTGTGGAAACACGTTGGCGACATAACGRAGGTTTCCCTTCTTCACATCTTGTTTCAGCGGATTAAGAGGATCCTTAGTGGCAATCTGAGAAGTGTAAACATAAAAACCAGAGGCCAAATTACATAAAGCAATGTTGTTGATGGATAAGTGTGATTGATTTAAAAAAAAAAAAGGTACCTCCATCTTTGCATTTGTCCATCTTGGAACTTCTACAACGGCATGAAAAATGTCCTGCAAAATAACGCRAATGTAATTTAATAACAAGATTCCAAAGAAAAACTTATCTGAATAACTGATGACGTTTTTTTAAAAAAGCAAACGAACAAAAAACTTAGAAACAAGCAAAAATTATATGGAAATCTGTTCTTAATAAAAGCTAACTAATTTGTTAAAGATAATAAAAGCTGAGTGCTGAATGTCTGCTGTAAAAGAACCAGAACATTAGCTATAAGCTATATGTAGCAAAAACTTAGCTAAAAGTAGCAAATTGCTAGCTAGAAACAGCAGGTTTTGCGAATAGCTGTTTAGAAAAAAAGATCAGCTAAAATCTACGTGTAGTAAAAAAACAAGTTTTGCCTAATCCTATTGCTGATTTTGATTTAAATTAAAATTTTATTTATCACTTCAGTTTTTAAATTGCTTTTATTGGGGTTTTTTTATTATTATTGAAAAATTGAATTCTGATCTTTTCAAGTAAACATGTTTCTACTAATCATGCACTTAAAGGCATATTTCTTTCACGTTGAGTTTAGATCCTTGTTTTTTAATCAGCTAAAAGTGTTTTTTCTAAATCCCTAACAGATAACATGTTGCTCACCTCTGCTTTGTTTGCATAGATGGGTACATCATGAAAGGGAGAAACGTATTTTCCATCTGAGTTTTCTATAAAATAAAATAAAGAGTTAACAAATTAATATCTTATATGTAGCTCAAGGCAGCAACAAGTTATTCAACTAATCCATAATTAAATGAGGTCATATTACTTCAACACAGTATTTCATTGAAACTTACTGAAAAACAGCCTGTACTCCTGGGTGTTGGGCCTGCCCCTCTCCTCAGTAGTAAAGCTCATGCTGGGTTGGAGCGCTCTCTCCGTGCTGYGTTCACTAATTCAGCAAGACGAATAAGAAGCTTCACTGAAAGCTCTCTGCCAAGGCAAAGGAGGAGGGCATTAGAAAACCTACAGTGATAAGAGCTGTGTGAAGGCACGCTGCTGTTTTCACATCACATCTAACGCTGATGTCTGTAAGCCCTCCTGAGAGAGGCAGAGCTGTGAATAGTAATCAGCACCTAATCCTTCCTTTTCACCACCTCTCCACGACTGTCACCCGCAATCTGCAACATTAATGCGAACACTTTCCACCGTCATTTCTAGACATTTGTTTTATCATTTCTCCTGTTTAAGCCGTGACTCTTCAGAGCTCTTTGCGGAGACAAACAGATGGAGCTGACTGCTTTCAGCTGTAATCCAATTAACAGGGCAGAATTAGCTGCTGTGACCACGGTGACTCCTATCAGTTTAACTGCAACACTTTGATAGCAGACTTATGGACCTATTTTTGAAAATTAATTTATGTACTGAGCTTTTATAAGCTATTCATAGGAAMGGTGCAATAATGAAGGTAATTCATATGAATTCATAAGAAAAAAATGTGTAATTAGGTTTGGCAGATGTAAATACTGTGGTAGGAAATAGTTACAAACAATAGAGCAAGTATTAAGTGGCAACTCTGTTGGTTTTGCAGCTACAACTGACTATTTATGTGTGTTATTGAAGGTTTTGGTTTTTGCACGTCAATGCACCCCAAGAGACTTTAAAAGTACAATACACCAGTTTTCTCCTTAACACCAATGTTTTGTAAGAAACAAAAAGACCCAAAAAAGAATATAAAGTAGTTGCATATTTTAAAACTTATATTTAAAATTTAAATATAAGTTTTACAGTTTTGCTCATAGTTAAGTTTATATTGTAAGCAGTAACTAATTTYCTTTAAATTGTGGGGAGGCAGGTTATTGTGTATTTTCCAGGCTCATAGTTCAATTCTATACCACAATCAAGTAGCTATGTTATCTTCAGTTGTTTTGAAAATGCTGCATATATCAAAAATAAGTTTATCTTTGCATTAATGCCTATCCTTGAAATTGGCCTCTGTCTCTTTAAAAACCTGCTACCATTTCGGACGCACCCACTTTGTTTCAAACAACGCTTCGGGAGAAGGACAGGAGCTAGGCTGCAGACTGAGCTCCAGGGAGGAGCTAGGTACAAAGAGGCGGTGCTTTGTATGAGCAAGTGTTTAGGCAGCTCCAATTGGCTACCATAGGCGATTCAAGGATTCTYAAACATGAATCAAGTCAAAGTAACAGTCTGGTTATATTTCTGATGAGAGAACGACATAACATGACATAAAGTTCAATATAATTGATTTTGCATAACACCCTCCCTTTAAAAATGTGTTGTCATTCAAAGATGTTTCAAGAATGAGCAAAAAGTTAGAAGAAGTCATCACTACATCGCTTTCAAAATGTTGCTTTATTTCTTTACTATAAAAAGTAATAAATTAAAAATAAAACGTCAAGTTAACCTTAAGTTGCATCTAAAAAGGCAGCGGTTTTCTTCAAGTGCTTTTAATTTCAGTTCCTTCAAAGTAGTTAAAGGCACAAAACGTGCCATCTGTATCAACTGTCAAAATTTTTTTGACATATTTTACGACTCGTTTGCTAGTAAAATCTCAAACTTGTGGGGCGACTGCAGAGCAGACTGAGTGCTGTCGTCCAAAGGATTTGATTTCACGTTCAGTAGCTTCAGAGATGGCATGACGGACAGCTTCTCCAGAGGTATTTCTGTTGGGAAAAAACAGGGAATAAGCTTAAAGTGGCTGCTCATTCTGCAAAGTAATACTTCATTCGTTCATACAGATGGGCTGCATATATATATATATATATATATATATATTACCAGGGATGCTGTTTCCCTCGAGGTCAATCTTCTCCAGAGAGACTATTTCGGTCAGCTTGTCGGGAAAGATTGAGAAGTTGTTATGAGCCAAATTGATGAAGGTCAAATGCTCCATTTCCCCCACGGTGTCAGGCAGYTTGGTGAGAACATTACCCTGCAGGTCAAGTTCTGCAAGGTATTTCAAGACAGGTGTAAACAAAGAGGTAATTTGTCTGTTCTTCCATGAAGACAGTCTGTCAGTATTTGTGACGTGACAACAGCATATGAGACAGCGGTTCGGTTGATGCCGTTGTTAACCCTTTCCTACCTTTGAGATTAGAAAAAGTTGTAAAAAACTTGCTAGAAATGGCCTTCATTTTATTATCAGCCAACGTGACGACACGGATGTTTCCTGTGACGGTCCTCAGGAGCTTGAACGCGCCATCGGGGAAAGAAACGAGCTGGCAGTTGGACAAATCTGCAGACAAGAGTACAAGTAGTGCAACAGGACTGAAGTGTTCATATTTAGACCACTMGCACCATCTGCTGGTGGATTTTAAAACACCACTCTAAACAAATGTGTTCATTCAAATGCTTTGAGCTATTAAAAGATTAGGCGAAAAACTGAGGAAGAAAATGTGTTCTGAGTAACTTACCTARACTATCTTTGCCTTCCTCTACTGTGTCGTTAATCCTCTGAGCGACCTTCGCCACAGCCTCAGCCATTTTTCTGCTGTAACTGTTTTAAATCAAGGTTATTAAACATCACTTAATTTAAATTCTTGTAAACATGATAATTAACAGAATGATACAAGCAGTGGCTAATAATACTCTATAATGACAATTATGTTCTTTTTTGCATATGTTTGTTTTAATTTTGTGGTTTAACGCACTTAAATTAAGACACTTCAGATTTTTAAACAGTTATGTCCGGTGTATTAGCCACAGCCTCAGCCATTTTTCTGCTGTAACTGTTTTAAATCAAGGTTATTAAACATCACTTAATTTAAATTCTTGTAAACATGATAATTAACAGAATGATACAAGCAGTGGCTAATAATACTCTATAATGACAATTATGTTCTTTTTTGCATATGTTTGTTTTAATTTTGTTGTTTAATGCACTTAAATTAAGACACTTCAGACTTTTAAACAGTTGTGTCCGGTGTATTAGCTGCATGAAGATAAATTAAATACATATTTTTATAATTACAGAAGTCAAATCTGGTTAGAAAATAAATTATTTGTATCTGAACTCACTTTCATGATTTTGATTCTGCTATTTATATAAAGTGCTGTACTTCAAAAAGTGTCATAAAATATATAGTGTAGAAGAGCACCTGTTCACAACAAACACCAAAACATTCACCCAAATCAGGCCGTCAAACCCTTTTATGCTATTTAAACTGATTAATGTTTGGAAATATSTTCCAATCTCCACACTGAACCTGAAGATTACATCATTTATTTACCTAAATAATTCATGACTGTGAAAATAGGCCATCTACAGACCTACACTGAGAAAAAGGTCTGCATTTACTAATTGGATCTATATGAAAAGCTTATTTCATAAGTGTCTAATTAAAACCAAGAAGTAACTTACTTACTTTAACACCCAGGCTGTTCTGGAAACTGGCAGCTGTCAGTGTTTGCTATCATTAGCTTTTAGCAACACAAGCAGCTATGGGTGTATTTTTAGCCCTGAAGAAGTCGGTTCAAACGAGTGCCGGGTTATTTATTATAAGCAGCAATGCTTATTTCATAACCGACACCAAATAAGAGCAATGCAAGTGCACAAATTGTAGAAAAAATATTGTGGGTTTAGCAAACGACTGTTATGCGAGAGCTAAAGCTAAAGCTACCCGGAAGTTGTGTTCAGGAGCGTCAATGCTGCGCAACGATATTACAGTGTAATTCGACAAAATACYAGTAAATTGTTTTTCCCAGGTTTATTAATAATTAAACTGTAAATGTTTACTTATAAGCTCAGTCTAATTAATATTTATCACATCACAATTGCTGACTTACCTCTGATTCCAGGGCAGATCACACACTGACAGGCTTTTTTTTGTCAGATAGGTTATTTACAGTTTGACCCCTTTTATGCTATGATTCTGGCAAATTCCTGTTTACTCCGTGTTTTTTTTTTTTTTTTTTTTACAAAGGGTTTGAACACAATAAAACCCACTGGTTTGAACCAGGTTATTTTAAATGTTGGAATGTGCTGAAATACATTACAACTTGAAGCTTCCAGCTTTCTTTTGAGGCAAAAAATAGTTCCAGTTAAATCAATGCTTTGTAAACTATCTAGAACATTAAGCACTATTACAGCCCTCCTATTTATCCAGAACAAACTAACAAAGCAACATGTTTACTCTCAGCAACAAAACTCTTGAGCACACATGGTTATTTTCCTATATTTACATCCCAAATCACAACAATTATTACCTATGCAATGTACAAAATTAACATAAATACAATATTTTATTATTCACAATAAATACACTTTAGTTAGTTTACAGTAATAGTTTTATATAAAAAAAACAGTGCTGAAACATTAAACAACATTGGCATATGTTTTCACAAAATAAATTGAACATTTACCAAAAATAAACATCAATGTTGGATTGTGACAATATCTTAATGCTGTTAATAAATGTGTATTTCAGCACATCTTCAAAAAAATAAATGTCCTCATTACACACAGAGCCTACATCATAAAATAAGATCTGTTCAAATGAACGATCTAAAACAGGTAAGATATTCAATGTTCATACTGTCGTAACACAATCCCATTTCAAGAGTTGTGAACTATCCCTTTAAAGCTGTGTTCTGGCACATGGATCAGATGCAATCTTACAGTGCAAGATGACAAAATATCAAAGAGCCTTTTTTTTACTAAATGTTAAGTGTTTTTTTATGTTTCTGAAATCACTTTTGTTTCTTCACAGCGTGTACCTGCTGCCAGGTGAGCAAAGGATAAAAGGGCAGTTCTTACTCGTGTAATATAAAGCTTTCGATAAAAGTAAGACAAAAAGCTTTAACGCTAAATCTGGAGAGATTTAGTTCAAAACAAAACAGAGAATAGTTTCAGTTATTGCAGAAATGTTTTAAGCATGAAGTTCCACCATTTAGGTTTTTCATATCCACTAAATTATTATTATTTTTATTAAAGTTGCATTAAGCAGAGCTCGATATAATGAGCAAACCTGCAGCTTTCCTTTTTCTTTGTTTAAAGGTAAACAGATACTGCAGTTAAAGACTTGATTGTGCTCAGAGAACATATTAAACAGAATTCAAAACTTCTCCAGTCAAGTCTTTTTTTTAGTGTTCCTTAAACTAAAAGTTTTAAAAAAGTACTAAAAGATGGTGCAGGAGCTCAACTCCCTCTCATTGTGATTAAATTACAATATGCTGCAAAAATATTAGCTGTACGGATTCTATTTATATTTTATAAAAACGACTTACCTAATTTACAGCAACCTTTTTTTATTCTGCAGTGTAACATTTTTTTTATTAGAAATACAACTAATGTTCTAATTCTTGTAAGCTGAGTTGAAACTTTTTCTGAGCTGCCAGTGTTTAAACTCCAACTCTGCAGAAAAGGTTCTCGTTCTGAGGTGGCTGCAGCATCACTGGCAGCCGCACTCATCCACAATCATGTCCTCGTGGTGCTGAAGGAGCATTTCTCCGTTCTCGTAGTACAGCATGCTCAGCGGGCTCATTTTGGTCGGAGCGCAGCACGGCGTCGCCACTCGCTCGGGATGGTAATGTTTCAGCAGACTCTTGAAAATGGCGAGACAAAAATGAGAGTTAAGTGCATTACAATGTTAGGTTGTTTATTTAGAGAAAGATTGAGGCAGCAGTGTGAATGCCTAGCATTCACACTATTGAGATCATTTTTTTCTTCCTTTCGTTTTTCAGTATCAAACTTGTTCCACAATTTTTGTGCTATTTCAACAATTCATACAGTATATCAAAATGTTCAGCTCATTTATGACAATCCTGCTACGACTTTTGGTATTTCAACTATTTATATCATATTTCTCCAGTTTTAGCTTCTCTCCACAGGCTCCCTGTCAAATTCAGAACAGAATTTAAAATCTTACTTCTAACATATAAAGCTCTTAACAACCAAGCTCCATCTTACATCAAAGATTTTATTGTTTCATATTTTCCTAACAGAGCACTTCGCTGCTCTCGGACTGCAGGTTTACTTGTGGATCCTCGAGTTTCTAAAAGTANGACCATGAGTCTATTGAATAAACTAATCAATCAATCAATAATAAACCGTACGAAAACAATATATGACTCCCGCTTACGGTTCGTGTGCGGGGGTCATAATAACGTGTGTTTTGAGTGACTACTCTAAGCCAAGATCAGCATCTCCTGTTTTGTATCATGCGGGGGTGAAACTGTGTCAACACAAGAACACACTCGGAGTGTACTTAAGCTGATGAAGTGACTGCTTTTGTTAAGCAGCGATTTATTTCATATTAAAGTCTTCAACAGGCTAAACAAACAACGTTTCCCACATTTTGTCAAGTTGCAACCAGAGTAAATGGGCTGAAAGCAAATGCATGCCACACTTTTCAGATTTTTTTCGATTTAAAAAAAGCCACTGATGATGAAGAAGCTAAGATACTAATATTCAGATATTTAGTACTGTTTTCTACTGAAGTGGTTAAAATAAAAAAAAAATAATAAAAAATTGTGGATTTTGTGAACACTTTTTAAAAAGCACTGAAAATACTAAAGTGTACTGATTACCTGCATATAAGCATGATTGGTTGGATTTAGGTCTTCTCCCAGAGGACCAGTGCAGGAACCTTCACAGCGGTAAGCGTTGTATTTTTTGGGAAAGATGATCCAGGAGGCCCAGCCGATTTGATTAAAATCCACCTCCAGGTCCACTCTGCGACAGACGGACTTCTCGCCCCCTTTCTTGAGCACCTGCGGGCTTCTCACTGTTTGCTCTTTGTGGCCTCGTTTGCTCCTGCGCCTCCTCGGCCAGTGAACCCTTTTGATTTCAGCGGGGGACAAGAACTTGGATTGTTCCGCTGTGTGGAGCAAGCTCGCTTTGGCCTTCGAGTTTTCACCAGATCCCATGTGTGAGAAGACGACCAGCAGCGCCTGGTCGCTCACGTTCTGCACCTTTTTGGAACTCGCAACGAAACCAGGCTGATGGGGAGCAGACAGGCCTAGCATTTGCTTCGTCCCCGCCCTTTGTCTTGGCGTACTTTTATTTTGAAATCCTGTGGAGTTTTGCCGAAGCCAGCCCAAGAGAGGACCGGTCACGTTGAACACCTTCCAGCTTTGTGATGACGTGACTAAAGACGACTCGGTGAGCAGCCCCACGGGCTCCTGCTCCAGGTGACTCACCTCCACGTTGATGCCAGAAGCATTCTGGGACCGAGGAAGCTTGATTCTCAGCTCGGCTGCTTGGATGTGTTTGTCAGCCAGAAGGACATGGAGGTCAAAGGTCACCACCCAGCGCTCATGTTTGTACGTCAAATCTGATGTCATAAAAACAAAAATATTAGCATTGTATAAAAACAACGTATCATTCAGTAAAAATGCCTTAAAACATCATGATTGTGTCAACAACACGTTCAAATTGAGGCCTGAGAGATATGGAACTAGACGTCTCTCTTTTTTTTTTTAAATAAAAGCACATCTACATGATTTGATAATCCAAGATGGCCACAACCAGCTGACAAGAAAAAAAAAGTTATTACTGTCAAAATATTGACCTAAGGTTTTATGTGGCACAAGCTCAGGTGTACGGACAAAAGCTCACAGCCTAAATGAAAAAAGGAGATAAAAAAGCTCATTTATTTCTAAAACACCAGATATGATATCTGAGACACCTCAGAGTTGCTCACACGTTCCTAATTTTGAGTTGTTCTCACTTTCTAACCTTCCACACTTTATTTTTACAGATATTTTTATTTTCTTGAGGAAGATTGAGCATCTCATTTAAGCTTACATTAATTACGTGATACACAGTACGTAATACTTTGTGATGTAAATATTATGTGATGCAATGTGTGGCTCATAAAAAATTGTGAGCATTTGTCTTGTGAGCATGTCAGGGAGTCAAAGTMATTTAAAACAAGATATTTGTCTAGAAAAACAGTCATTTTATTGTGGTGCTGCAACAATACCGATTTTTAAAATTTACTTTATCAACTTGTCTACTGAAGATGCGCTGTGTTGAAGGATCAGTGGATCTTTGCTCGACTACTCCACCTAGGCTGCATTTTTTAGCGCAGATCCACTGAGAAACTTGCTGTTTCAGCAACATTTATTTTAAAAACTGTACTTTCGAGGTTAAACAAATGTTCATAATTAATTTAAATAAATTACAAGTTAAAAGGGGCATGGAAATTTCTCTTTTTTGTATCGAAAAAATATCGAACCGTGAGACAGAAGTATGAACCGAACCGTGTATATA